AACTACGTGAAGAACCTTTCACTTTATTCTAAATAAATATATTCACCATTAAATTCGTCATTGAAATGAGGAAATCACATGCAATGCATTTCAGTTGAAGGTGGCTGTCTTAAAATAGTGATGTAAGGGGGTCTTAAAATACCTTTATGAATGACAGCAGTTTCTGGGGCTAAGGTCACAGAAATAAAGATCTGAGCCCACATTCAACAATCTTATAAATTATAAAAGAATGTTTAGACATAAAATCTAGACAATGAAAATAGAGATGCTGCAGTGACAGGCTTAGAAGAGAAGGAGGAATTTGCGGTCCTTTCTCAAATTACCTTTTCATGAATGAGAATAAACTCATACAACAATTAAATAGGGCATGTGTTCTCGTTCAGGATGCTGTTTTAAAGTTCTCTTCAGCAGTTTACGTGGACTTTGATATCGTTACACTCTGATTAAAGTGCTAAATAAAAAGAGGGTAAATACTTCTTAGCTTCCATTGGAGTAATGGTAAACCCAAACTACAGTCAGCACCACAGTAAAGAGCTAAGCTGGATGAAATCTGGAACCACATTTGTGGGAAGGACATGGGACCGGCCCAGTGAAGTCACTCTTCAGTGAAACAGCAGAGCTCACATCATCCTTCCAGGAATCCCGCAGAAGAGGCCACTTGGGATGCAGGAAGATGACAGCAGCTTTCTGGAGCTAAGATGGCAGCAGTTTTTCCTTTGGCTAGATGTTCTGGTTACAAATTGGAAAGCAAACTTGTTCACACAGATGAAATAAGGGGCAGAAAAGGATGACGACTTGTTCTGTTTATTCCAGCCCTTTTTACTGTCAGACTGCCGCTTTCACTCCTTCTTCTTTCTGCCCATGAAGCTCACCCTAGAGAGAATTTCTGAGAATAAATGGAGCTTAGTGAAGCTTCTAGAAAATAGTATAAAATACTAACACTGGAGCTAAAGATTTCTAAGGTTGACGAATTCTAGGTGAAGACGAAGAACAGAGTGGGAACCTGGAAGTGGGGAAACGAGAGGATGAAAGTCATAGCACAAGTTAAAGCACTAGGAGTCTGTGTTGCTGGAATTCAGGCTGAAGGGTGGATAGACAAAGAACAGAGTGGGAACCTGGAAGTGGGAAACGAGAGGATGAAAGTCATAGCACAAGTTAAAGCACTGGGAGTCTGTGTTGCTGGAATTCAGGCTGAAGGGTGGATATGAGGTGGGGTGAGTAAGCCAGGTTTCAAAGCCATGATTGAATGAGGTGGAGTTTTGAGGATGTCAGAAAAGAACAATAAAGTGGGCATATAATTTAGGCAATACTATTCCGGACATAGGCATGGGCAAAGGTTTTACGACGAAAATGTCAAAGGCAATTGCAACAAAAGTAAACATTGACAAATTGGGTTTAATACACTAAAGAGCAATGGCTTCTGCACAGCAAAAGAAACTATCATCAGACAACCTACAGAATGGGGGAACATTTTTGCAATCTATCCATCTGACAAAGGTTAAGTCATGTTTATCAATACGTGGATCACTGATGATAACTAAACTATTCAAGAAAAGTTGTTAACTAAATGGCTGCATGACTTTTGGTGGGAGATTGTATTGTAGCTCAGGAAAAATTTATTCCTTTGGTTGCACCTGCAACCCTGCCCAGGAGGAATGTACATCCTTGTCCCAGAAGCAAAGGGCTAGGTGACTTGCTTTGGCTTGTTGGCATGTGAGTAGATGTGGATGTGCCTGTCCAAGCTAAGAGCCAAACACGCACGCTGCTTTGGGCTCACTCTGTGTGCTCTTACTGCTCAGAGCCATGCGTCCCAGGGAGTGTTACGCCTTCAGCCTGGAAATCCAGGAGAATCAGATCTCTGCTGTACCCACCTGCGAACTGCCACAGCCCACCGGCAAGCTCAGGAGTGAGAAATAAAGAAGCATTGGCTGTTTCACACCCCCTCACACACAAAGGAGCCTCAGTGAGCCTAATGGCTGACTTCTCATAATAACTGTGGAGGCGGGTTGACATACTCAAAGTGGAAAGAAGGAAAAGATTCTCAGTGATGAATTCTACATCCAGCAAATCCATTTTCAAAGGAGAAGTTAAGGCATGCTATACTTTTAAAAAGAAAAGGTGACCTGATCTGAGAGATTTGTCACTAGCCAACCTTCTCCACAAGAAATGATAAAGGGAATAAGTCATGTTGAAATGGAAGGAAACTAAATAGCTACTCAAATCCACACTAAGAAATAAAAGGCCCTGTTCATGTAACAACATAGGTAAAAGTAAAAGGCAGTATAAATGTACTTTTGTTTGTAACTTCTTTCTTTTTTCCTTTTTTTTAAAAAAATGGAATCTTGCTCTGTTGCCCGGGCTGGAGTGCAGTGGCATGATCCTCTGCCTCCTGGGTTCAAGTGATTCTCCTGCCTCAGCCTCCCAAGTAGCTGGGATTACAGGTGCACACCAGTGAGCCCAGCTAGTTTTTGTATTTTTAGTAGAGACACGGTTTCACCATGTTAGACAGGCTGACCTTGAACACCTGCCTCAGCCTCCAAAAGTGCTGGGATTATAGGCATGAGCCACTGCGCCCAGCCACTTCTCTCTTTTTCTCTATCTGATTTGAAAGACCACTACATAAAGCAATAATTATAAATCTTGAGTGATGGGCACACAATGTATAAAGATGTAATCTGTAACAACAGCAGCATGAAAGTGGGAAGGAGGACCAGAGATCATAGAAGTAAAGTTTTTGTATATCCGTGAAATGAATTTGGTGTTAACTCAGACTTGACTGTCGTAAACTAAGATGCTTCTTAATGGGAGAAGCAGGGAGGAAAGAGCACCAGAGATTCTGGTCTGCATGGTCTGTGCTGATGTCTCAGTTGTATTCATTTCCTGTTGCCATTGTAACAAATTACCATAAACTTAATGGTTTAAAATAATGCAGACTTAGGATTTTGCAGTTCTGAAGGTCAGAAGTTCAAAATAGGCTCCAGTGGACTAAAATCAAAGTATTGGCAGGTTAGATTATTTCTGGAAGATATAGATGAAAATCAGTGTTCTTGCTTTTCTCAGTTTTTAGAGGTCATCTGCTTTCCTTGACTCAGACCTCACATGACTCTGATCTCTGCTTCCATCTTCACATCTTCTCTCGCTCTTAACTGCCTGCCTCCGTCTTATAAGAACCCTTATGATTTCAGTTAATACCCACCACGTGATCAGGATAACCTCCCCATCACAAGATCCTTACCCGAAACACAGCTGCAAAGTCCTTTTTACCACATATCGTAATTGTCTTAATCCATTCGTGCTGTTACAACAAACTATCATCAGCTGAGTGCTTGTAAAAAATAAAATTTCAGCCAGGCGAGTGGCTCATGCCTATAATCCCAACACTTTGGGAGGCTGAGGTGGGCAAATCATTTGAGGCCAGGAGTTTGAGACCAGCCTGGCTATCACGGCAAAATCCTGTCTCTACTAAAAGTACAAAAATTAGCCAAGCATGGTGGCACATACCTATAGTTCCAGCTACTCAGGACGCTGAGGCAGGAGAATTGCCTGAATCTGGGTTGAGGGATTGGGTGGAGGGGTGCTGGCAGAGGTTGCAGTGAGCCAAGATGGTGTCACTGCTTTCCAGGCTGGGAGACAGAGCAAGACTCTTACACACACACACACACACACACACACACACACACACACACACACACACTTATTTCTCACAGTTCTGGAAGCTAGGCAGTCCAAAATCAAGGCACCTGAAGATTTGGTGTCTTCTCAGGACCCACTTTTTTGGTTCATGGACTGTGCCTTCTCCCTGCATCTTCACATGGTGGAAGAAGCAAGGTAGCTCTCTGGGGCCTGTCTGACAATGCCACAGATCCCATTCATGAGGAAAGCGTCTGCCTGAATTACCTTCCAAAGACCCCTCCTCCTGATACCATGACACTGGTGATTAGGTTTTCAAACTACAATTTTTGGGGGGAACACAGCTATTTAGACCACAGCAGTAACATATTCATAGGCTCCAGGGATGACAAAGGGGACGTCTTTGGGGACCACACCAGACACCTGTTCGATACTGAGGTGCAGCCGGGGTTTAGAATGACCCAGGCACCGACCGAGGCTGCATCGGCGGAGGCTGCATCGCGCGGGCTGGCGCAGCCACGGTGAAGATCAGCTTTCAGCCCGCCGTGGCGGGCATCAAGGGCAACAAGGCCGACAAGGCGTCGGCCGGCCCCGGCCACCGAGATCCTGCTGACACCGGCAAGGGAGGAGCCGCGCCCCCACCGTCGCTCCACGCGGGGGGCTCGGTTGGCGGCGTGTGCCACCTGCCGCTGGGCATGGTCGTTCTGCCCAGGGACCTGGTGCTCGCCTCCGTCTCCATCTGCAGACACTTCTTCCTTGCGCAGCTGGCCCGAGAGAACTTCCGCTGCGTTGTGCTGTCTGGGCACTCGCTGTCCTCCCAGGCCCGGACTCAGATGGAGCTGGAAGAGGACGTGGAAATCTACCTCAATGAGAACGACGCGCGCACCCTTGTGCCCGGGCCCCAGTTTGGTGGCGGTGACATCATCCATGATTTCCAGCGGGGTCTGACCGCCGGCCACGACAGCTCCCTGGACCAGGGCTACGACATCGAGCCCAGCACCACTCTCGTACTGTCCCCTCGCAACTCCTGGGAGCTCCTCGTGAACGTCAAGACAGGGACCTACCTCCCGCAGACGTGCGTCATCCAGGAGGAGATGGTGGTCACGGAGCACGTCAGTGACAAGGAGGCCTGGGGTCCTTCAGCGACCATCTGTGCAACGGGAAAGACACCTACCAGCTCCGGCGCCGGGCGACGCGGGGGCGGATCGACAAGCGTGGGGCCATCCGCCACTTCGAGAACACCTTCGTGGGAGAGACGCTCATCTGCGGGGTGCTGTGAGGCCCTCTGCCCCCAGCCCCCCCGCCCTCTTCCTCTTCTTTCCAGTCGCTCTCTCCTCCTTCCCACTGCTTAGCTTGTACTTTGGACGTGTATCTATAGGGGTGATATGTCTCTCTCTTCCTCCCCAACCCTGCCCACCTCCCTGTACCAGAGCCATGAACTCTCGGGGCCCCATCTCTGCTTCCCCCCCTCCCCGGGTGTGGTGGAGGGAGAGGTGACACCACAAAACGGTTTCTGTGTCCCACTGTCTTAAAGCCAGGCCTGCCAAAGCCTGGGCCCTCAGCCACACTGGGAGTCCCAGGGGAGGGATGGGTTGGGAGAACTGCATATGTAAGCCCTGGGCAAGGGGATAGGGTTGGGGGGCTGGCACAGGCTTCAGAAGTATTTGCACAATTAGAAAAGTCCCCAAAAGCTTTTTCCTTGGAGGGTACACTTCCTTCACTGTCCTTATTGCTAGGCCTGGGGCTTGAGCTGAGGATGGGATGATGTGCCCAGGGACGGACCCACCAGAGCACAAGGGAAGGTGGCTCCCTGGGGGGCATCCCCAGGACTCCCCTCAGTGCCTTCAGCCCACCAGCAGGACCTGGAGTTTGGGGAGTAGGGATGAGTCAGTCAAGCACAATTGTTCTCTGAGTGGAACCAAAGAAGCAAGGAGCTGGGGCCCCCAGCCCTGGCCCCCCAGGAGCACAAGCGGGGTCCCCACAGCCAAGGCAGTGGGGTTGGCTGTTGAGGAATGGGCAGGCAAGGTCACCGCTTAGTCCTGTCCACGGGCGATGAGCTGTGGGTTCTGCTGAGTGGGTGGAGCTCACTGCTTTCTCCCAGCTTGGAGCCATTTTGAAAGCTAATGCAGAGGGAAAGGGAGGGCCACCTGGTACTTGTCTACCCTGCCTCCTCTGTTCTGAAACTCCAACCCCCTCAGCTTGGGGGAATGCACCTTTTTCCTTTTCCTTCTCACTTTTGCATGTTTTTACTGATCATTCAATATGCTAACCATTCTCAGCCCTGAGCCTTGGAGAGGAGGGCTGTGAGCCTTCGGTCAGTCTCTGGGGATGAAACTTACATGCTTTGTATATTTTCTCAATTAGATCTCTTTTCAGAAGTGTCTGTAGAACAATAAAAATCTTTTACTTCTGAAGAAAAAAAAAAAAAGAAAAAAAAAAGAATGACCCAGGCAGAGTCTGGGATGCTCAAACCTAACAGATTCTTCAAGGCTCCAGGGACTTCATAAGCCTGACCACACCCACTCCAGACTTCCAGAATCAGGATCTCTGGGGGTGCTGCCTGGGACTGTCACTTTGTAAAGTTCTCTCACATGATTCTTATGTGCCCGGGGTTGTAAACCCTCTCAGAGGAGCCATCAGCAGTCTGTACAGCCCAACGCACCACAAAGTCCCCTGAGAAGTTTCAAGAATCCCTGGACACTTGGTGACATTCAGAAGCCAGGGTTCCAGGCAGACCTGCACCTGCTCCTTCAGGCATATCTTTTTGGCAGAACTTCTCAGGTAATTCTGATGCCCACAAAGGATGACCGGTTGCCCTGTGGAGCGCAGCGCTGGCCTGCAGATGGATCTAAGCAGCCCCATCAGACCAGGCTGTTTATATGGTGAGTGAGGCATGTGGCCAAAGAGACAGCACGTGTGTAAAGGCTTTGCTTTGGGGTGAGCTCTTAAAGGAAACGATTTCTTTCAGAGCCAGACTCAAGACACCTGGCAGGGAACCGTTTGAAGATCAGCATATACTTGGCCCTTGGGAAAAGATATGGAGCCTCCAAAGATGGAGATGTATCTGCAGGACTTAATTGTTGAAGAATCACTAAGATCCTCTCTAATCTATTTCAAAATAATATCAGCTAGTGTTGCTGTAATTGATGCTACTAGAGGAAAAGTTACATGAAAGGGAATATATCTTAGCATGACAAAAATGCAAAATTAAAGTGTGAAGTTAATTCCTTTTTTTTTTTTTTAATGGAGTCTTGCTGTCTCCAGGCTGGAGTGCAGGGGCACGATCTCAGCTCACTGCAACCTCTGTCTCCTAGGTTCAAGCGATTCTCCTGCGTCAGCCTCCTGCGAGATAGGACTACAGGTGCATGACATCACACCTGGCTAACTTTTTGTATTTCAGTAGAGACGGAGTTTCATCATAGCCAAGATGATCTTGATCTCCTGACCTTATGATCCGCCCGCCTTGGCCTCCCAAAGTGCTGAGATTACAGGCGTGAGCCATCACGCCCAGCCAGTGCCATTTTAAAAGTTCAGAATCACAATAAAAAAGAATGTAAAACTTATTTTAAAAATTAGAGATAGAAAAAACTCTGAAGACATCTTGTAAAATAGGAAACCTGCCTCACAAAGCTATGTGGTAGATTCTCAAACTTCCTTTATTGTATCTGAAAATGGCAACATGGCTCCTTGGCCAGTGTATTCATACTGAGGTATAGTCAAGACCAATGAGGGATATGCAAGTTAACCATTCAGATTATTACAAGCAAAGGGCAAACAATGTGTCTGTCATTTAAAAAATTAGAATTTACCAAGATAAACAGGGAAAACTATATTTTAAAGATCATCTGCTTATTTTCACATTTTTGAGTTGGATATGTGAAATGTACAATTAATTATCATCACAAAAAGTTGACTAAGACACTCAAAACTGAAAGCCCTAAAATATCTAGAGGAAAAAAAAAAGAAACTAACATGGTTCTTAAGTCACAGCTGTAAGCAAACACTCACAGATTTGTCTCTTGCAGCCTGGCGTATCAGCCATGTCTAAACACCACTGAACTTGATTCTCGCTTTTCCTGTAGACAAGTAGCAGCATACGACTGTCTCGACAACATTCCCGACCTGTAAATCTTCAAAGCAGCAATGCTCTACTACGAAAGGAAAAAAGACCAAGACCACAAGTAATCCATCTTCAAATTGTCACTCTAATCCCTTCTCTGAGTGTCAGATTAAAGGTTGCTGCTGTCTGGAGGTCTATGGCTTCAAATTAGGGATGAGATCACCAAAAAAGCTTAAATTCAAACTTCAGATTTCTGGCTTCACCATGCTCCTTGGTGAAAAAAATAAGTAGTTGCCCATTAGACATGCTATCAAGAATAAGAATGGATCCAGTGTGTATGTAAGATATCAATAATAAGATATCATTGATAATATTACAGGACACTCGTATCCAGTGGTGGTTAAAAATCCAGCCTGGCCTTACAGTAGACATTGAGCTACGTGTCAAGGTCAGTGATCAAGTTCAAGGGAGGCAAGCTCTGGCTCCCCATCCAAATCCAACACAGCCTACTTGTGTACAGTCACAGCCTACTTGTGTACAGTCTGTTAGCCAAGATGGTCTCTGGATTTTCAGTGAACAAAAACACATGAAAAGAACAAATATACTTTATGATGAGTGAAAAATAAATGACATTCGAATTTCAGTATCCTTAAAGTTTTGTTGCAACTCAGCCATGTTTATTTCTTTGCGGATTATCTACGGCTGGTTTCAGGCTGTAAGGACAGAGTTGAGCAGTTATGACAGAGACCACATGGCTTACAAACTTGCAGATATTTGCTATCTGAGCATTTACAGAAAAATATTGCTTGACCCCTGTTATAGACCATGGGCCTCAACCCTGGCTGGAAAATGCAATCATTCGGAGAGTGTTTAAAAGAACTGATAGTAGGCCTTTCAGAGAAAGTTTTATACGAATTGGTCAGTTTTGATCTGGGAGCCCATGAAAGTTCATCGGTTGCCCTGCGGAGGGCAGCACCGGCCTGCAGGTAGATCTAAGCAACCACAGCAGCCCAGGCTGCTTGTCTGGAGAACCAGATGATTAAGTGTGACTTCAAGTTGTCCAACCTTCTCCTTGATCTTCTTCCTTTGACTTCTGAATATTTCCTTTGTGGGATTCTTACTACAACAATGCCTTTCCAGGGAACACCCTTTGCTGCCCACTCTGCTCCTGTAGTTGTGCAAAAATGTGCACACTCAAAACACATCCTCTCTCAAACATGTACATGTGCACACACACATACATACATGTGCACATATAAACATACAAACGCACTTGCACATATATTTACACACACACTCCTTGCGTGATCTTTGGAGCTCAAAAAAGTGGAAAGAGGATTCTATGAAATTAAGAGTTTCTTATCCAAATTATGCACATCTTCTTCCCCTCATTGAATCCTCCTGGACCCTTGAGTTTAAAAAATAAACAGTTGTTCTTTCACCCAGATCATATTTTAAGATCTAAAGCCAGGGTGGACAATCTTTTGGCTTCCCTGAACCACATTTAAAGAAGAATTGTCTTGGGCCACACATAAAATACACTAACACAGCTGATCAGCTAAAAAAAAAAATCACAAAAGAATTTCATAATGTTTTAAGAAAGTTTATAAATTTGTGTTGGGCCACATTCAATGTCAGACAAGCTCGGTCTAAGGTTGTTTTGTTTCTTCCGCATTTGAACCCTTAGGGGGCAGTGGAAACTCACAGTTGAAACGCTTCTCTTTAAATGAGTGGTTTGTGGTGTGTGTTGTGTTGTGTGTGTGTTGTGTGTAGTGCAGTATGTGGTGTGTGCGTGTGTGTGCTGTTGTTTTGGTGTGTGTGTGGTACCCATATATATGGTGCGGTGCCCATGATGTATGTGGTATGTGTGTTGTTTGTGTGGTATACGGTGGATGTATCTGGTGTGGTGTGTGCGTGATGTGATGTGTTTGATGTGTGTTGTGTGCAAATGTGTATGTGTATGTATGTATATGTATACACCACATAGATACTTGCACACAACAGTGTGTGTCATGGTGTGGTGTGTGTGGTTTGTTGTGTGTGTGTGGGGTGTGGTTTGTGTGTGTGGTGTGGTGTGGTGTATGATGGTATGTGATGTGTATGTGGTGTGTGGGGTATAGGGTGTGTATATGGTGTGTGTTGCGCTGTGGTGTGTGTGTGGTGTGATGTGGTGCGATGTGGAGTATGTGTGATGTGTGTGGTACAGGTAAGGGGGTGTGTGGTGTTATACGATATGTGTGATGTGATGTGTGTGGTTCACGTATGCGGGTGTGTAGCATGATGTGGACTGTGTGTGTGATGTGTGGTGTGATGTGGCGTGTGTGGTGCATGTACATGGGGTGTGTGGTGTGAAGTGGTATATGAGTGTAATGTGATGTGGGATGTGTGTGGTGTGATGTGAGGTGTGTGTGTTGTGATGTGATGTGTGCTGTGATGTGGTGTGTGTGTGAAGCACAGGTGTTCCACAGACACCACAGTGAGGAGAGGAGTGGCTGGGTTAGGATAGGAGGCAGTGTCTGCCCGGCTTGGGTACACAGGTGAGAACAGCAGGCTCAGCCCTCAGTGAGTCTGGACTCTGGTTCTCAGCAACAGATTAAGAGGCCAGAACTCTGGGCAGTGACAGTTGCCTGGCATCATTGCCACCCCGCCTTTCACTTCGAACCTTCCCATCTGGGTCACCATCAAATGGAGAGGAGCTAGGCTGAGTGTGTTTTCTATGGACGCTCCTTGCAGGGCTGGAGGGCATTTTCCTTTCTCCTTTAAGCTCCTGTGCTTCCTGTCATTGTCACCAGCCAGGGAGAAAGCAGTGCATCTTGCCTTTTGCTTTTTTTTGTTCAGTTGCAGTCTTTCTCTGTCTCCCAGGCTGGAATGTAGTGGCGCAATCTTGGCTCACTGCAACCTCCACCTCCCAGGTTTAAGCAATTTTCTGCCTCAGCCTCCCGAGTAGCTGGGATTACAGGCACGCGCCGCTGCGCCCAGCTAATTTTTTTGTATTTTTAGTACAGAAGGGGTTTCACTATCTTGGCCAGGCTGGTCTCGAACTCCTGACCTCGAGATCCATCTGCCTTAGCCTCTCAAAGTGCTGGGATTACAGGCGTGAGCCACCGTGCCCGGCCCATGTCTTGTCTTTTAAGTCTGTTTTTATGAACCCCCACTGTTTGCAGAAAGCTACCTGAGTGTGTGGTGCTGCTCTCCCCTCTGTCACCTGTGGACAGGTGAGCGTGCTGCCACGCTCTTTCAGGGTTCCACTGCCAGCTGCCCTGATGTAACCTCTCTGCTGGTGGTAGGGGTAATTATGACTGTGCTGATCTTCTTTGGAAAGGACAATGGAAAAATCTGGCCCCAATCCTTTAG